TGTTGTTTTAGTAGTTATTGTCTAGGGGAAAAGAAAATGGAAAAAATAGAATGCTTCAATTATCTATACAGTAAAATTTAGAAAATTGGTTTTGCAGATTCAATGTCAGTGTGGAATCTTCTTAGAGAGTTCCAGATCAGAAAGGTTCACATGGCTGTTGTTCTTAATGGATATGGCGGAACTGTTGGGGTATGTGCAAAGCCTCATATTGAAAGTCTACTTAAACATAATCATTCATTGTGTTTAGATTTTTCATTATGATAAAGTTCCAACTTCTGTCTTTTTATTTATTTTTATTTTGTGATGCATGTCAACTTATGCTAACTTGTAATATCTTGAAACAATATGAGACAATATTTGTGATATTTTGAACTTTATTCTACAGTTAGATGCTAACAATGCTTCCTCTGCTAAGAGGCTAAAAAACTAAACAAAATTTTTTCGATTGTAGCTAAAAGTCCTAAAGACAAAACCTTTTTCTTTATTAGCTTGTTCTTTTTGCCCACTTGAAGTAGTATTTTTTCATTGTTTGTTGGTATCCAAATGCCATAATATAAACTGAATAAAACGAATGATGGTAAAAAGTCAAACAGGATAATATGCTGACCACTTAAAATCTAAATGATTGGTATGACCCCTCAATCCTTAACTCATGAGCTCCTAGCATTAGGATGTTATTCAAATCTTACAACTTCAGAAGGTTTGGCATGTAACATTAATATCAGGTTCAACATGGTAAAGGAGACACAGGAGTTCCCTGCAGTTGAAACTTGAATGCTCTCTCATATGTTTAGAGTGGAATATGCACCATGAGAACACAAAAAGTCTAGAACTTACTATTCATGGGTTTTCTTTCTCTCTTGGATTGCTTATTTAACGGTATTTGTGCTCATTTTATTGACCGATTGATTTTATATATTTATGTACTCATTTTTTGATGGAGCAGATGGTAACCTTAGAACATGTGGTTGAGGAGATTGTTGGAGAAATCTTTGATGGAAATGATTCAAAGGTAAGCCCAATTACCTCATTAATGACCTTGATGTTCTGTTACTGAATCTGTTATTGGGGGCAAGTCTTTTAACCATATAGATAGCTTTAGATATTGGATTCTATTATTCCTCAGCAAGGGGATGCTAAGAAAACTTGTTGATGAAGTCCAAAACAAATTGGTGTTATACATGTGCTGCTAATTTTCTACAGACCAATTGATCTAGATGCTGCTTTATGTCACTAGTTTCTGGTCTCATTTAGTTTCGCATGTACTTTTTCTGTATTTTCCATGTGACCAAGGAATTACATGTCACTTCTCACGTCATGTAGATATTTCTTTACTCAATAGGTCTCATATCAATTAGTGTTACGAGGTTCACTTCTACTTGATTCTTAAGTGATTCATTTATACATATGTATAATGATTCTCAAGTGATTCTTATTTTATGCATTTGCTGCGAATTGTATTAACAGGAGGAGATCCAGAAGAAAACTGGCTATATTGTAATGAGAGCAGAGGGAGTATATGATGTCCATGCCCATGCATCTATTTATTGGCTGAGGACTTGCAAATCAAATGCCAGAGGTATATTATTCTATACTATTACTGGTTTTTGTTAGTTATGGTGTATAGAGCACTAATTGGAGAATTTAAACATTAAAGCTAAAGACTTAGTTATTAGGATCATTTCTACCTTTGATTATTTCTAGTATTGTGCACTTCTCCTGCCATTTCCACAGGCTTATCAAGATTTCATCCTCTGCCACATAGTAGTTGATGTAGGAATCTTAAAAATAGCCAGACTTATAAACTTGATATTTCTGATACCAGTGCAAGTGAAATTCTGTTTATTGTGATTGTTTTGGGATTATTATGCTTTATGATTAAGTGACCACTGCTTAAAAAATAAAAAAACAAATGAAGAAAAAGGGGAGAGGATAAAGTAAATAGTTAAAATTGCAATGTGATTTTCAATTCATTTTGAAGTAAAGGCACAGTTAATCTCACACTGTAAATAACTATCAAAATGTTGCTTTAACTTTTAAATTTCATATTTCTACTTCATTGTTCTTTGTTCACCACGCTGTTCTATAGGAACATCAGTATGAGACAGTATCTGGTTTTGTATGCGAAGTGTTTGGATACATCCCTAGGGCTGGTGAGAGCATCAAAGTTGTCCTCAAAAGGGATAATCAAGATGAAGATGATAAGCATGATGAAGATGGATCTGATCATCAAGATTTGAAGGAAAGGCCTCAAATATATAGACTTGAGCTAGGGTAAAAGAACCGAATGGATTTCAGTAAAAAAACTAAGAAAATGAATGTAGCTAGCAATCATGAGGTCTCTTGACTCTCTTCCACATATAACTTTCTGAAATCAATGCTATTATGGGGGCATGCATATGCTTCGTTCTTGTCTAACATTCAAGTTTAAACATTTTTTCTGGAAAATAAATTATCCATGTGATAACTGTATAGGTTAATAATACTAAATCTTAAGCAATGTGAGTGAAATGTTGTCCCTGGTGCAGATATTAGCTGCAAATGCCCGAAAGGTTAGTGCTGTTCGTTCCAAGCAGATAAACAATGGGGAAGCAATGTCAGAGGCCAAAGATGTAACTCGATTGCTTTGCAAAATCATGAAGAGGAAAGGGAACGGTGACAAATTGGATAACATTACCTGTGATGAGATGCATTTCAGAGGAGATAAGAGAATTACCTTTCTGATTACTATGTAGTTCTGAAGATACATAAGATAATGGCCATTAGCTACATTGCATATTCTGTTTTCTTTTTCTTTAGCTCCTTCTTTTCCTTCTCATATTCTTACTGCCCCATGAAGAAGAAACGGAAGGAAACCACAGGATTACTAGGTGGACTAACATTGTAATACTTTTTCACAGATGAAGTATCAACATCTGAAATATCATCATGGTAAGTTGTGCATATGACAGTGTCTCTGGACCATAAATTCTCCAGTAGTAGAGTCTGAATGGCATGAACCTGGGTATTCCTGCTCTGCATACTGGCTTCTCTTTTGAGTGTACACTGAAGAGGCAGCTGTGAAAGCATGAGTTCAGGTTGGAAAAGCGATCTAGATGGTACATAAGTTATAGCTGCATTGATCTGCCTTGATTCAGGCAACATCCGTAAGAGCTCTTTCTCCTGCATCATCTCCTTGGCTCTCTCCAACTGTCTGAACCTTTCTTGCAGAACAGCAATGGATGGATGAACGACTGTTGGATCAATCTGTCTATCTCCACTCATTGGAAGATGAAGAGTACACTTTAAGGAGACCTCAAATGCATATGCTCATAATATAGGACATAGCTAGGACTTTAGATGATTATTTTAATTCATTCATTCCGGCTATTTGATTCTGTACGACTATAAGTTGGAATGCACAAAGGCAGCTGAGCTGCAAAGTGGACGGACCTTCTTATCATATTTAGCTTTGAACGTTTTCTTTTTTTCATTTGTGGACAACACAAAGCTTGAACGCTGTGAACACAATTCGGACTCAGATGTTTTTATCAAAGAAAACCATTTTATGGTGAGGAGAGAAAAGAGGAAGAATCTACCAAAGCCAATCGCTTCTTTCTCTGTACATTTTCTGTTTTGTCTTGAAGTTTTTGGATGGAAATGGCATGGAAGATGAAAGTTAAGATTATTAGATTGGATCTGTGGTTGTTGGGGGAGTGAAATTTGAAATGCAACATGTACCCTAAAGTTGGAGATAGATTTCTCTCACTACCTCCAAAAAAAAAAAAAAATCTTATGAATTTGAGATAAATGTCTATTTAAATTTTAATTAAGTACAATCAATACAAAAAAATTTATCTTCAAATATGTAATATTCATTGAATTTGCTGAATGATCTTATCAAATCCCATTCGAATCCATAGGTCAACATATGCAATTAAGTACAAAAAATAATTTGATAAAATAACTCTTAAAAAATAATAAAGGAGAGGATGATAAAAATTTTTTGATATATCAAGTTTAAAAGTTTTTTTTTTATATTTATTTTTACAATTAAGTCTTAATATCCCTCTTAATAGTAGAAAATGGATTACAAAGTTTTTTTTTTTCTTTCAAACGTAGTAGTTCATAATAATATAAAAGAAGGCAAAAAAAAAAAAAGAATTTAAATTACACCAAGCTATAAAAATAAAATAGTGATCATTAGATAAAAGGGGTAATTAATATCATAATTTAGTATAATTTAAATTGTGTAAATAAAATATGTAATATTCAAAATTATAAAAAATACTGCAATTTATTAAAATTAATTTTACATTAATGGCTCCTATCAATAAAATAAAACAAGTGATCAAATCACGTTACGTACGGGTTTTCGATCATTTTGTGAAATTTTTTATTAAGAATTTATTATTTATTTTTACATTGGAAAATACATTCAAAATTTCATAAAAAAGGAATACGTTAACAGAACTTAAATTTATTAAAAATTTTATTGAATTAATAACTGATGTAGAATACTTTGAATGGAATTTTAATCTTCGTCGTTGCTGTTTTTCTAGGTAGTTTGATTGTGTACTTGGGAGCTGAATATTTTTCTCCTGCAATTTAATTAAAAAAGTAATTTTTATAATTATAAAATATAATAATTTTTTATAAAAATA